CTGGGAATTAATATTTTCTTGTGGGTCCCGTGGGTGCCCTGGACAACGACAAATCTGATCCAAGTTGAAATGAATTGGCTGCAAAAAGCTCAGGCCGTTTGCCTCCCTCACTGCTTTGCGCCTGACTTCTTCACGGGCATAGAGGCAGCTGACGAAGCATTCTTGGGAGCCTTGGTCCTTTTGGAAGCTGGGGCTCTGGGGGAATCTTCAACTGTGAGCACCTTGGTTTTCTTCTTGGGTGTCATTGGTTCCGATACCCTGCATGATGGCTTCTTGAGCACTTTCATGGGAGATTTCTTGGGAGAAGCCATCTTGGATAAGCTCTTCTTGAGTTTCCTGCATTTCATCATCGAAGAACCATCTTTTTTGGGTTTTGGTTCCACTCCATCAGGACCCTTGGATGACATTGGCGCACTCATTGGGGAACGCGGTGGGGTAGGATCCTCTGCAGAGCCCCATGAACGATAGGTTGGACCCGTCTTGTACCAAACCCCACCAAACTTGGTCCACCCATGGTTCTCCATGTTACGATGAAGGTAATCGGACCAAGTAATAGGCTTCTTGGCCACGGAAACGTGGTTGCCTTTGAAATCATGAAATTGAAGGTAATCTCGGAAGATCCATGCTTCACGGATTTTGCGACGTGTGCTCTCTGACAACTCTGAATCCGAGCCAGAGTCATCCCGAAAGAACATCTCCTGCTCCCATTTTTCATCTACTGATCCCTTTGAGTCATCATCAGAAAAGGGTGATCCTAACTCATTATCAGGCTGACGAATCAAACCATTCCCAGTAACATCACCAGTGCTGTCCGTGCCATTTGGTTCCATGTTGTCCACCGGAACAAGAGCTCCATGCAACTCAGGATCTTGGTCTCTTGGATCAAAGGGAACCAAAGACAATGAAGTCACCGAAACTGCATCGGTTGTCTCGCTGTCTTCGTCAAATTCACGGGCATTTTGGCGGCGGAATGGGATTGGGGTAGGGAAGGCATCAAGGTCACGTACCCTTGAAGACATCGGTGTCAAAGATCCCCGAGTAGCTGGCGTAACGGGGGAACCCTTGCCCCCTGATCCCTTGCCCTTCACCCCGGCTGAAGATGGGGTTGTAGGTGAAGCACATTTGCTCAACATGATTCTGACGAGTCAGAGGGTCGCAGAAGAAACTTTGTGTCAACTCGAGACTTAGCGGCTACGTTGATGTTCAAATCTTCAAATGGTTCTGAGCATACCTATTTATTCTTAAATATTGTATGCCAGATGCGAAGAATGACACTCCATCCCCATGCCCAACAGCCACATAGCAGCCAAGATACTTGGGGACATAATGCTGCCAACGTTTCAATCTCTGGCATCCAAAGTGAGGTCAACAAGATTTGTCCCGTGCTCGGCGATGGATTCCCGGCATCAAATACGGCCTTGCAGTGCGTGATTGTGCGTGTCTGTGTGTGTGTGTGGGGAATAATCATGCTCACTTGCCTGTTATGAGATCACAAATCATGACCATCATAGTTCTCATATATCGTTGACCCCTGGCTGATACGACATTACTATTTGTCTTAAATTACAAATTCAAAGGTGCCCATGCCTGATAGTAGTTGCGATTTGCACACTCAAGACGTAGACGACGCAAGTAGGCATTCACCCATGCCTAGGCCGTAAATCATAAGAGTCCAACAATAGGACCCAGACACGTACAGGGGAAGGTCAAAGGAAGGGTTCTAGACTTAGACACCTCTACAGATGTGTAATCATTAGTGCAAAAGATACGATAAAAAGTAATCAACACATTACCGTAGAAATGTGCGTCAAACAGTTCTGAGCTTCTTTCGTGAGGGGGATCGTTCTCCAATGTTCCAGATTGTGCTTCTTCATAGCTTCTGATAGATTTGGCACTACACCATTTTGTACATCTTGCACACATTGGGCATACACCGATGGATCCAAAACAGCATTGGGTGCTCGAGTGGTCTTTGCCTCAAAGGGTTTTGCAAAATGCCGAAAGTGTTCGACCAACAATCCCACTGATCCTCGTGCAACCATACGGGCCATATCCTTGCTTCGCTCATCCTGCTGGTTCAGCAATGCTGCAAGGAAACACCCAAGAAATGGATGTTCCTGAGCGACAATTGCAGGCTGGGTGGCTGCCTGATATGGTGGAATAAAGGGAAGGGAAACCCAGATTTGATTCAAGCACGTAAAAAAAAACTTAAATTTGTGCAAGGAACGGGATTTTGGAAGATTCGGTGGGTATTGTCGCCCCTCGCTATTTCAGCTTGGTTCTCACTGCACAACCAGTCACATACCTTCTGCAAAAATCCATCTCGCATAATTTGGGGTATGGTCACGCGGCCGTTGTCCACCTGCAAGGATACCTTAGTCGCCGACTGAGTCACTGACTGAATGGGCAGCAAAGGTGTTATATAATGTTGTATAATTGTCCATGGGTAATCGTTACAAACACAACCAGCATCATTACAAGCTTTGAATTGAAATTTTGGGTTGTTGGATAGTTGCCAGCATTGCCAACAAGTTACAGAATCAGTAAGCTGGATGCTAGCTGTAGTGCTCTCCAAACATTGCAGCCAGTGCGTCAGGGCAGAGATAGGCCTTGTTGCAAGCGCTACTGCATCTTTGAGTACGACACTGTTGGTGGATCTGTTCCTAGTTACCCAGACCCGACATGAAACAAGGTTTCTTCAATAAAAAGTGCAAATTTATGTTGAGCAACTGGTGTCTGTCCCTGTTCCATCTGACAGTGATCCAATGGCACAATTGTGCCATCAAAGATCCAGTGGTTGACAAAATCTCCTGATGATCAGTGTTCAAAAAGTCATCGGGAACCAGCTGCGGCTCATAGCGAGGGTGTCGGTTGCGAAGGGGCCCACAAACCTCAAAGCTAGTTAGACGTACGCCACAAAAAATGTAATATCACATTGATTATTTCCATCTTGCCAGGAATTTTACACAACAAAAACGGGAACAAAAACAACGAATGGTATTTCGAGGGGCTGCTAAACGGGGAGGTCTTGCTGAGAAGATGCCTTCATACATATTTTGAATAGTCTTGGCAGATTTATCCAATGATTGGAAGTACGTCTTGTGCGATTCTGGATACGCTACATTGTAGAAGAAGGGTGCAGGCCATAGAATCTCACCGATTGGCACCACAGCCACCTTCAAACATGGCAACGTGCCTTTGGCATCGACCGAGTGGAGCTCTATCATCTTGAAGGAGCTTGAGGTGTAAATGTCAATGGAAATGATTACAGTAAAGTTTGCACAAACTGGCCACATGATATGCCATGGTGTCGGGACATGGGGTCGGGTGAATAGGGACAGTTGACTAGTTCTTAGATTGAAGTCTTGGAAGGCTTTGCACACACTTGGCAGCCTGGCTTTCAAGTGTTTTGTTGATTTAGGTTGGGATGTGCCATAGGGCAGTCAGAATTGTTAGGGATCCAATGTCGTTGCCAAGGCTGCGCTGTACCACTCATAGGCTCATAGATTCATGAATGTAAATTTGGACTTTGTACTGAAAATCAGTTTCTTGTTTCAACTCCCGATGCATTGTGCCCGACTACTCCTTGTTTTTGTGCCCTGTGACTGGGTCAACTTGCCAAGTAGCGACGAACATGTTTGGCAATATCTTTTCAGATCTGGACTTAGAGCCGCAAAGTGAGTTTCAATAGGCTCTTTGTGAACGTATTGTGGCCTACCAACTGTTTAAGTTTCGAAGACGTTGTTCTCAGCTCCTCAGGCAATCGGAGGTTTGAAAAACTTTACAGCACAGCTCTGGAAGGTGGAACTGTGCCACCAGTGGATTTGCGTTACTTGCAAAGACCCCGTTCTTCTACAAAAGGCCACGAGGCCCGAGCCGATGTGATTGAGTTCCTCAGCAATCTTTACATATCCACAGCAGAGACCCTTCCAGATGTCAAGGATGATCCTCTCACCAGTGCCGAAGAACTGAAGGTGCGAGTTCCAAACAATGGTGACCCGCTGGGTGACCCGTATGCAGAGAAGATGGCAGAGATGGTGGCTGCCGCCAAGACTGTGAACAAGCGAAAGAAGAAGAAGGGGATCGAGATCAATCAACTCAGGGCAAATATGGAACAACGATTTCTGCCTCCAGGCACGATGCGCGATTTCTGGGAACAGTACCGCCTTCATTCTCAGAATCAAAAGCCGGCATCCTTTCCCACTTTTTGGCGAGTGCCCTGGCAATGATTATTCTAAATTGTTCTTTTTGCCCAACAGTATACCAATGGGTCTTCAGGCAAGCCCATGTGTTCCGGAAGAAGGTTCTCCCCAGAAGTTGTGTGGTGCAGTCTGGTGCAGGTGCTGGGTCAGAGTTCTGGAAGATTCCGGTGCTAATGCCATATCAAAATAAAGGTTGGCAACATTGAAGTTGGCAACCTTGCTGAGGTCTGGTTGTCCGAGTTTCCATTCATGACCTTTCGCCCAACTTCCCTGCATCACGAGTGCGCCACGTGTATCAGACACCGGGCCCTTGTTAGAGCTCTATCTGGCCACTCTCTGGCCCGAGGGGCCCAGCAGAAGCTTTACTACGAGCACCTGCGACAACAATATTCCGATAGGATCATCTATTGGACGGCCAGGGCCGAGAGCCGCGACCGGTCCATGCCATCCGTCACTATCGTGACGGATGGCATGGACCAATCCAAATTCAGTCTACCTCGACACGAAGCCATCCGATCAAAGGAGTTCGCCAGCTTTGTACGGCCGCGTCTCCACATTTCCGCCGCCATAGCCCACGGCTGGTGTGTGGTATTCCTGGTGACACCACCAGAAACTCATAAGGATTCAAACACCTCCATTGAACTTTTGAGCCACACATTAACAGTACTGAAGCGGCTCGGAGCACATCTTCCATCCCTACACATCAATATTCAATCGGACAATACGTGCAGAGAGTGCAAAAATTCGATGCTCATGAGATGGATGACGAGTTTGGTCGCTTTGCAAGCAGTCCAGAGCATGTCTCTGGGCTGTTTGCGAAGCGGCCATTCTCATGAGGACATAGACCAACATTTTGGTCGCCTTTCCCAATGGTTGAACCGATGGAAGGTTTTGCAAACGCCCGACGACACGGTGGCTTGTATCAGAGCCTTCCTTGACCAAGCCAAGTTCTTTGAGAAGGACAGGTATGTTGTTGCTTTGAACCGGACTCGTGACTGGCGACTCGGCTGGATCCCATACATTAGTAGTCAGTGTTGCCAACAATTTGTGTTTTCTAGCCAATCGTATCTAATTGTGTTGTTGCATGGAAGTCTCAGATTTTGGTTGGCCGGGACACACCCCTTCGCCTGAGGAAAGGCTTTCACACAGCTTCTGTCCCGGTAGCTGTACAGGGTATTGCAGGCCCTGGTGCACCGCACTATTTTCTGCTGCAGCGAAGAGCAACTTCTGGACTGTGAAGGGTTAGTGTTGGGCCACATTGCGTGTGATGTTTTGATCTGCCCAAATTCATCCAAATTCCTATTTTTGTGATTTTTGTGATGTGATGTTTGGAATACGTTTTTGCAGGACTTTCCAGCGATGAAATTGACTGCAGCTATTGGAAGAATGCAGCTGAGCATCCCGATGATGTATTGCTCAGGCCACTGTTCATTGGTGAGCGCATTTGAGTTTCACATCACCGCCCCTTAAGTGGTGGAATAAGTGGGGGGCGGGGTCACCCCCTGGAATTCCAGTTTTACTGCAACCACTAATGGCAACTAAACATACACCAAGCCGATGGCTGGAACACGGAAGATCCCCATGCATCCATGAACTCAGGCCAGACCTTGTCAGGTTGGCGGGTGGCGCTTGATTTGTAAGGCCACGGCTCAGGCATTCTGAGAAGTCCCCAATAAAAAGCATTTAAGCGAAACATGATCAACTAGGTATGAAAAAGGCAAGTATTTTAATCCGAGTTGTGCTACACAATGGCTAGTTGTGCAATCGCCGGCTGTGTGATTGCGCAACTGGCCACCCAACAAAGCTATCATCAGCATTTTGACTTTGCAGTTCCACTTTGATGATATTTCAACTCCGTAAGCTGAGCAGTTAGGTAGGTGCCCAGGCCGAGGCCTTCCAAAAATTACCCTATAAGGGAACAGTTGAAAAGTAAGGAAATGCACCTTAAGGTTCTTAGACCAAACGCAAGCCATGGTGGAACGCTTGCTGTGGTTTGGGGGGGTGACCCCCCCTAGATAAACGGTCCTGATAGTTTCACGAACCACCGTACAAAAAAGGGAAGTTTAGCATTGCACGTTCTTAGGTTGCTTTCATGCCGTAGACATTTTGTAGCTTGATGTACTTTGAATCAGGACGAAGCGCTGGCTCCACCACGAGGAGTACAACTTCCAAATGCTGTTTTATCCGAAGGAAGTCGCATTGCAGTTGCTTCCACTTGGGATCCCTGCCGGTTTCTTCTCTGGGATGTGTGTGGGTTTGTGATTGGTTTTCTTCTTGGTTTGATTGTCCAATGCTCGGTATGTGAGAAGTCCAGAATGACAATGTGATTTTGCGCCCCATGCCTCCAAGTATATCGAGTCTTAGAAGTTGTCTCCTGTTTGCGGGGCCTCGTTTTGACTTGTGGAATGCCCAACAATTTTCCACTGGTGCTAGGGTCGGTAGTTGGTGGCTCCAATCTCATGTTATATTGACTATGTATTCCTCGACATTTTGAGGTTTGGCAGAAAACAAGCCGTTGGCGCAAGACTTGATTGACCACGTCAAGAAGTACATACCGCTTTTACGCAATCCAATTTTTAAATTGGAGAGCTGTGCAGATTGGTTGGAAGGCTGGGTTCAGGGGACTCTCCCCGATCTCCCTTTGTTGGACGTGAGCGCGTTTCTTGGTTTCAAGTTACTGGATTCCAGTGTTGGTTTTGCCAAATTTTGAGCTTTGTCGGTTTGCAGCCTCTGATTCTTTCAGCAGTTTAATAAGCTCTTGCCTGCACCTTTCTCTGAGGGTACAGATTATGCCGGGCCCTTGCGTGGCATCAGCACCTTCAATGTTTGCTCATGGCATTGATGCCTTCACAGTAGATCCAAATCGTTTGAAGTGTCTTGGATCAGTGTCCGGTGGTTGACGCGTGGTTTGGTTGACAGCCAGGAATTTCAAAATTGCGGCTAGCGCATTCGGGGGGGTTATTGAGGCCAAGCCATTGCTCTTGGTTTTTGTTTGGCATCCCTTTTTCGTAAACAGAAGGCACGTGCGCAATACGCATGGATGCATACAAACTCATGTACTTTTGTCCTTGTGTTTGTAACTTCATCATATTCAAATAGGGTGTTATGTACCAGGTGTCCGGACTGATGTTCTTTTGAGTGCATACTATCATACCATATCAATGCAATGTATTAGATGTTAAGAACAAATGCATAAACGTGAGCAGTTTTCTGGAAATCAAAAAGCAAACTCCATAACTATGCAGCTATACTGTGGTCAGCGGGTTTTTCAAAAACCTTTGAGGTTGAAAGGCCCTGAGCAAAAACTGGCCATTGTGAAGTCCTACACGACAAGGGCAAAGGTTCGGATTGTGCACCGTGCTGCAGCCAGCGCGTGGATGCAGGGTGTCCCCTGGAGCGAAGCTCTGGAGATCGCCACGAAAGCTTTGAGAACTGCTGATGGCACCCCTCGAAAATTGGTTTTTGCCAAACGTGGCAAAGGTAAAGGTAGAGGAAAAGGTAGCGGCAAAGCCAAAGGCTAAAGGTTGTTGACAAAAAAGACTAAACAGTCTTCCCAAACGCTCAATGTAGCGTCGTTTTCAGGATCTCAGGGTGGCTGTGACAGAGGCAGACCTTCAAATCTCATCCTTAAAAGGTGATTCATGAAAACGTTTTATGGAAACCAAAAACCATAAGCATGTAACTGTTGTATTCTTTTCTATGCGCAGTCGAGGTGATGTTTGAGCAGTGTCGTAATCACGATCTTCAAGCCCGAAAACTGTTTATTCCAGTGACCTTGCAGAAAGCGACCTTTCCAGAACAATCCATTTGAACGCGTCCAAAAACAGCATCACAGAGGGTTTCTTCTAAAAGAAAGGAGGGTCCACAAAACATGCAACCAGAACTTTCCAAACTTTCATGGCTTACAGCACCCAATGCTGCAATAACGCGTTCCATGATCCTTTTTTGAAAATTTTTGAAAATTGGTAACCCTAAACCCTAAACTAGTCGGCAATTACAGGGCCAGGTGCGGCAGTACCGTTCCCCCACAAAAGTTTTGTGGTGTTTGGTTCAAGGTCCGTTTCATCGGAATTTGTTTGTTTAAGCATGTTGTCCATCAGTTTGAACATGTTTAAACCTTTTTTTTGACAGTTCTAGTTTTGATCATGTATACCGCTAGGGATTTGGGGCCGGTTGTTCGGGACCAATCTGACCCGAGATCGGTCCCGGGACCAAAGTTTCAATGATGAATGTCAAAAACTTGAAACCACATGTCTTAAACTTGTCGCAATGCAACGCAGCAGTCCGGCTACGATGATATCTTTCTTGAAGACTTGAATGAAAAGTTGCAGCTCTTAAATTGAACAAGTTTTGTGTGACAGCAACGCGTTCCATGATCCTTTTTTGTTTTTTTTTGAAAATTGGTAACCCTAAACCCTAAACCCTAAACTAGTCGGCAATTACAGGGCCAGGTGCGGCAGTACCGTTCCCCCACAAAAGTTTTGCGGTGTTTGGTTCAAGGTCCGTTTCATCGGAATTTGTTTGTTTAAGCATGTTGTCCATCAGTTTGGACATGTTAAAACATTTTTTTTTAATAGTTTTAGTTTTGATCATGTATACCACTAGGGGTTTGGGGCCAGTTGTTCGGGACCAATCTGACCCGAGATCGGTCCCGGGACCGAAGTTTCAATGATGAATGTCAAAAACTTGAAACCATATGTCTTAAACTTGTCGCAATTCTACGGGGCAGTTCGGATACGATGATATCTTTCTTGAAGACTTGAATGAAAAGTTGCAGCTCTTAAATTGAACAAGTTTTGTGTGACAACAACGCGTTCCATGATCCTTTTTTGATTTTTTCTGAAAATTGGTAACCCTAAACCCTAAACTAGTCGGCAATTACAGGGCCAGGTGCGGCAGTACCGTTCCCCCACAAAAGTTTTGTGGTGTTTGGTTCAAGGTCCGTTTCATCGGAATTTGTTTGTTTAAGCATGTTGTCCATCAGTTTGAACATGTTAAAACATTTTTTCGACAGTTCTAGGTTTGATCATGTATACCACTAGGGATTTGGGGCCGGTTGTTCGGGACCAATCTGACCCGAGATCGGTCCCGGGACCAAAGTTTCAATGATGAATGTCAAAAACTTGAAACCACATGTCTTAAACTTGTCGCAATGCAACGCAGCAGTCCGGCTACGATGATATCTTTCTTGAAGACTTGAATGAAAAGTTGCAGCTCTTAAATTGAACAAGTTTTGTGTGACAGCAACGCGTTCCATGATCCTTTTTTGATTTTTTCTGAAAATTGGTAACCCTAAACCCTAAACTAGTCGGCAATTACAGGGCCAGGTGCGGCAGTACCGTTCCCCCACAAAAGTTTTGCGGTGTTTGGTTCAAGGTCCGTTTCATCGGAATTTGTTTGTTTAAGCATGTTGCCCATCAGTTTGGACATGTTAAAACATTTTTTTTTAATAGTTTTAGTTTTGATCATGTATACCACTAGGGATTTGGGGCCAGTTGTTCGGGACCAATCTGACCCGAGATCGGTCCCGGGACTGAAGTCTCAATGATGAATGTCAAAAAGTTGAAACCATATGTCTTAAACTTGTCGCAATGCAACGCAGCAGTCCGGCTACGATGATATCTTTCTTGAAGACTTGAATGAAAAGTTGCAGCTCTCATGATCCTTTTTTGAAAATTTTTGAAAATTGGTAACCCTAAACCCTAAACCCTAAACCCTAAACCCTAAACTAGTCGGCAATTACAGGGCCAGGCGCGGCAGTACCGTTCCCCCACAAAATTTTGTGGTGTTTGGTTCAAGGTCCGTTTCATCGGAATTTGTTTGTTTGAGCATGGTGTCCATCAGTTTGGACATGTTAAAACATGTTTTTGATAGTTTTAGTTTTGATCATGTATACCACTAGGGATTTGGGGCCAGTTGTTCGGGACCAATCTGACCCGAGATCGGTCCCGGGACTGAAGTTTCAATGATGAATGTCAAAAAGTTGAAACCATATGTCTTAAACTTGTCGCAATGCTTTCGCACTGATTATCTTTGAAAATTGCTTGAAAAGTTGCAACCATAAGCATGAAACTAGTTGGCTGTTATTGACGCGATCCGTCATGTGACCAAAAATCGCAGAAGTGTGGTAGCCTTGCAAAACTTTATTATCAATCAGCTTTGAATTACACTGCCAGGTGTGGCAGTAAAGTGACTGCATGTCTTAGGTTCAAGTGTTTCAGGCCGCTCTTCGTCATTATGGTTATCTTGATACCTTTGTTTGGTCCACTTAAATGTTCATCACAAACTAAAGGACTTTGGGTAATCACAAACTGTAGGACTTTGGGGCTAGTGGTTCGGGTTGAAGCTGGTTGGGATGTTGGAAATTTTTCAAAACTAGAAATTTAGTTTTTGGACTGTAGTGGATGACAAAATCGGTCCTAGGGGGCGGGGGGTTTGGGAGTGGGATTCGCGGACCGATCTGACCTGGGATTGGTTCTGAACCGCCCTGCGTGGACCAAAATCGTGTCTAACCAATTTTGAGGGGGGCTCAATTTATGGTTTGGAGTGCTGCCCGGGACCGATCTGAGGTCAGATTGGTTGCCAATGTGGGTCTTAAGCTGGGTTCTTTTTGAGAACCAATCTGAAGAAAAAAATAACCGAAGCCTTGAAGTGCGGCTTGGATTTTTGTTTTGAAAATGATGTGTTTTAGTTGGGCTTGTTCGGGACCGATTTTCGTAAGTGCAGCATGTTCAGAAAATCAAAGTGTGTTTCCTCAAAAGGTTCAACCTTTCACATGAAAGCTATTATTTTTTAACACTGCCCCAAGTCCAATCACAGGTGTGATCGGTCCTGAAACCTTCTCCTGTAAATATGAGTCTTTCAGGACCATTTTTCAAATCTTATGTTTTGTGATTCCAATCTTCACGAATCAGATGTTTCCTGAGTCGGATTTTTCCTGAGTCGGATTTTTCCCGAGTCGGATTTTTCCCGAGTCGGATTTTTCCCGAGTCGGATTTTTCCCGAGTCGGATCAGAGGTGCGATTGGTCCCGAGATGGTGGTCTTGATGGGTGGATTTCCTGAGTCGGATTTTTCCAGAGTCGGATCAGAGGTGTGATTGGTCCTGGGGGTTTGATCATGATTTTTTCTGGAGTCCAATTTTTCCCAAGTCCAATCGTAGGTCGGATCCGTCCTGAGACTGGTGGTGGTATTTGGTGTTCCACAGGTATGCTTATAACTTCAAGGAGGAAACAACATATTTGGGATCGGACTCATGAAATTTCAAGGGTCCAATCAGGCCCAGATCCGACCCGTGGAATTTCAAGAGTCCAATCGGGCCGGGATCCGACTCGTGAAATTTCAAGAGTCCAATCGGGCCGGGATCCGACTCACGAAAATTATTAAACATATTAAACAGTCCAACCAACCAAGCAAAAAAACATGGATAGACATCATAACCCAATGAATTAAGACTATCAATGCGAGTTATTTTGTTGATACTGCCTTTGGCTCCGCAGTTTAAGACTAACGGTATAAGGCTGGACCGAGATTGACAGGTGCCTTCAAACCCACTTCTTAACCCGACACAGCTCTTAGTTTCAAACCCGAAAATCGCGAAAAATACCATAAAAAAGCCAAACGATCTTTCTATGTAAAGCCCTAAATTCTTAACCCTTGTAACTTCAAACCCTGAATCTCGTAAACCTGAACCCCCTCAAGCCCTTAGCCCCCAAACCCTTGATCCCTCCGACCCTTAATCCCTCAAACCCTGAAATCCGGAAGGCCCAAAACCAGCCCAGACTTTATCAGAAGAAGCTCGGGGTGTGAAGGATGTGTCAATGGCTATCAATGGCTTAATTTTGAACCAACAGCTTATCATGCAAACGTGAAAACCCAATAATGTGGATTTGTCAAAAATAAACCATTCCAAAATGGCCATAAAAAGGTGGCAAAAAAACAAGCCCAGAATGGGTGGATGGAAAACCTTTCTCCCATTACAAGAAATGAACAAAAATCCTTTGGAATGTGCTACCTAGCGTGTAACGCTTCAAAAAACTTAATAGCGTGTGGTGTGCCACGTGTTATGGAAACTTTGTCTTGCAACGCTCAAGAAGTCAACTTTTAACCAATTACTTTTGCTTTGCACGGGCGGTTTTCAAGTTGAAGCTCAGAACAGAGGTTTCAAGGCGAGCAACATAGCTACACACCTACCGCTTTTTCACACTAGAGTATTGGACAGTGCGTGTGTTAATGAAAGGAGTCTCTCTAGCGTATTTTTGAAAGCAAACCTGGAAATTGGGTTCGAGTTGTCTTGTAATTTTAGCGAACAGATGCTTAATACCTGACCCTTTTTTCTGTGTGTTGATTTCTCAGAGCAAGTAGGCTTGCGCAACGGACACTGTGTGGGTCATGTACTACACCAGAAATCAAATACCTGCATATTAACATGTGTCACATTGGATGTATTATCGCATTTCTAATCTGTCATTTCTGATTTGTATCATGTTTCGATGTATCATGTCTTACCGGTGTATTTGCATTGTGCATGTCATAAAGTGTTGTGGTGGCTTCCTCGACATGGCCACACTGAGAAAGTGCGGAAAGCTGTGACCGTGACGATTGAACAACAGGAAAACGGTTTTTGCCAATTACTGGGTCGAACTCCTTTGGTGCAGTGTGTTGCCTGGCTTTGGCCCTCTATTTTGCAAACATTATGCGCTCGTTTGTTTGTATTCCGGTGACGTGATAGAAACATGATGCATGTCTCATTTTTGCCCAGTGTTCATTGCCGTCAGTTGAGTCAGGTGCATTCCAGTCCGTTCATTTGTCGGATTGGTTCAGGATTTTTCAGGACTCATTGAATTGTCCGGGTGACTTTTGCCATGGCACCCAGAAAGCGCAAGAGCTCTGAAGGCCTTGATGCAGGCAAGAAGTTGAAAGTGTCAGGTGGAAAGCCTGACCCCGGAAAGTTGCAGACGATGCTGCACGTTGGGAAGCTATCAGAATGGTTGCTAGTTTGAAGAACAGGTTTGCTCTTCTTTTTTGAAAGTTTGCTGAGCCATTTCCATGAAGTGCTGCACTTGAACAGAGTGGTCGGTCAGTCAGTGTTGTCCCACCGCCCAGGTTGCTCGAAAAAGTCATGCCAGTTGGTGGTCCATCGGCATATCTTGCAACGATGTACCCAGATCAGGACACTTTGAAAGGATTACAAGTAAGTATTTGGTCAGCATGTAATATAATGTCGAGAGCGGTTGTTAAACTGTGGACATTCTCTGATGCCTATTGTTTTGAAGGCTTTTGTTGCCCAGTCAGTCAGGACAGTCTGCTGAAATTCGCTGAATGGATTGACACTTTCGCTCCGGCCGATGGTTCGACCGGGCCTGAGACGCCTTGAATCGTGTTTCCAACCCGAGTCATTCCATCTCTCAGCATGATTGGGTTTCCATCTAGGGCTAATATTTGATGATGGTTAGCTGAGTTTGCCTGCATTCAGGAAGGTGTATGCAAGTTCTACTGATCGGCCGTGTCTTCTCCGACCATGGATGCTTGGTTTTCGCTCAGATTTTGGCGTCTCTGGGTTCTTGGACCCTGAAGTTGGAGAGCTTTTGATCCAGCTGATCCTCACAGAGGGGTCGGCAGCTGAGTGTCAGTCAGCCAGGCTCAAAGCTGTCAGTGAACTTTCAATTGAGCAGTTGGTTGATGCAATGTTGTACCGTTTTGCCAAAGTCTTGATTCCAGCCTCAGGTTTTCTTCAGACCCCGACCGAGTTGGAGCTGAGAAGTTGTCGATGACGGCTGTTCCCAAGGCTTATTTGGAGGCGGAATACATTGAACTGCCTGCATGCATTGGCAGTGCCTAGCCAAATTATTTTTTGTTGCTTTTGCCCACTGATTCAGCCTGGTTAGTGATGCAGGGTCACAGTTCTGTAATGGGTTGTGTTGTTCACTTTAAGGTGGGATGCTTCCACCCTTTTCTTGCGCTTACGTGAAGGGCTGGAAGAGGGGAGTGACGCTTTTGATCGCTCTTCATGGCATCAGAGAACTTGGCCTCGAGGGTGAGATTCCACATTGGGTGAAGGCGCCTTTCACCAGCTTTTCATTTTACTCACTTGGACACTTGCATTTGGGATTGACTAGTGACTACATAATAATCTGTTGGCCTTGCTCAGAGTCCAAAGATGAAAGCTTGGTTTGATAAGAGTTGTTGAGTTTGTGATGCTGTAGCAGGTGACGTTTGGAACGATTCACGCGTCTTTTGGGACCTTCGCAGATGACACGAAAGGCAAGGTGATGGCCAACAGAGGCCGGCTTGCCACATGGCCATGCCGCACACCTTAACTACACTTTGACAGTGTAGTATGTCGTATGTTTGTTGTCAATGATGCCAGTTTGGTGCAGACCTTTGGTATGTCGCATGTTCATTGTCAATGAGGTTGTTTTTTCTGCAGACTTTCGTGTGCATATTCAGGTGCAACACTCCAGCACACTGCAACACGTCGTCCTCCTCATTGTTTCAATTTCCTTCGACAAGTGGAGATCATTGAGCGCAGCGGTGGTGCAGGGGTGTTGCAGCAGATGGAGGACCATTCCCTATCAGTCGCGGCCTTTTTTTTCATGGTCCCCTTGAACTGAGACTGGTCACTTTGATTGTTTTCTGCAAGCGTTTGCCGCCATCGTAAAACAATGTAAAGCAGAACGGTTTAAAGCAATGGAAAGTTTCAGAGATGACATCAAACAAGCCATACATTATTATGATGACAGGTAACTTGATACATGCTGTGGGTGGTAGGGTTCAAATCCAAGCTTGCTTCAAGTTTGAAAGCTCCCATCATCGGAGAGTGGAAGTAGTTACTATGTGACGCGCGCAGTTTTTATAGTCGAGGTGTGATAGCCGCTAAGTTCAGAGGGCTTGTCTCACAAATCCAATGAGCTCGCTCGGTGCGGGCCTTCATGGTTTTAGAGTGGTCACTGCAACTTAGTAGTCTTCTATGATGTGTAGCCATTCAATGAGTTGCCTTGGATAGCTGGGGGATCTCGAAGTCCAAGAGGATGGGGATAGGGGCAATTACCAACAATTACCCATGGTCTGGTCCTGCTCATTTTTGGATTCTGTAGGATGGCATCGGTTGGAGGATTGTGAAATATATGTGATATGCGATATGTGTGCTGGACTTGGAATGTCAAAGTCAAATGAGTAATGAGTATGCTCCAAGATTTCACATGTGCAATTTGAAGCGCGTGAACCTGCAGGAGTGGACCAATGCGACTTCTCTGGCCAAAGCATTTTCTTTGGGCAAGTTGGAGTCCGAGGCCATTTTCAACCTACGCCTCAGAGTTCCGGCGGCTGTTTTGAAGGTTCTTACGGAGGCGGTCAAGCAGCGGGGATTGGCAAAGCTGCTCACTCACGATGTTATCGCCAGAGATTGCTTCAACCAGAATTTCTCGTCTGGAGTGAACGCCATGGAACAGTGGAAGGAGGAATTGCGCAACCGTGATGGGAATGAGCTGGCTGCTAGGATGGATTCAGTCATTTTGCCATTTGAGTTTGAATATGTTTTTGCTCATGTATTTCGGCAGTGTCAGCTCCAAGAACAACTGTGTTTAAAGAAACATGCATGCCCAGAAGCAGTCAATGTCAATTCCTGTTTTTGCTCAGGCCCTGCTTTTTGTGCAGCGCTTGCTCAGTGACCACGACAGCACCCCCCCTCAGTTGCGAAAGCCTTTGACGTTTCGGGAAGCCCTTGGGAAACACCAGGCATGTGGAGGGTTTCTGCACTACCTCCGCCTCTTGCAGCAAATGGCCCCAGCAGCTGATTACCCTGAGATGGAGAAGGACTTGAAGCAGCAATTCCGGTACGGGTATTTGGACCCGGATATCCTGCATTCGCTCGAAACGATGGTCCCACCAGGGGACATCCAAATGGTGGGCGCCTTCAGGACGGCGTCGTAGTTGGTGTTCATTGTCATTCTTCTACCTGCCGGTAATAGACAGTTCTGCATGATAGTTCTGCCGTAGTTTTTTGAAAAGCATGACAGCTTGAAGACAGGTTGAAATCTGGTTGTCATGGGGCTTATGTTGGGTACCCAATGCAGGACCTATGTCGCCAGGGTGGAGCAGAGTGCAAGGAGCGAAAAGATGAAGAGGGAAGCTGATCTTGCAGCCAATGTCAGGGCCGCAGACCTCACGCAGTTGCTTGCACGCCTTGAGGCTGACATGGAACTTCTGAGTTCCAAGGAGAATAACAGTGCTTCGAGAGCTGCGGAGACTGCGAAGGACATGAAGTATCTTTGGGACAGGCAACTGAATCTCTGAAGTGCTTGGGTTGTTTTTCTAGTTTCGAAAGTAACAAGCCTTGCGCAACGAATTTTGACATGAACATCGGGCACATCGTATTATGATATATTCATGTTGTTTGATCGCTGTGTACTGCCCAGGAAAGGCGAAAGGTGGGTGGATGAGTGGATGGCCGAGAATTGCAAGCTCTTGGAATGTGATCAGGACATGCACGCAGCCATGCCTGGTTTGCTGGCATTCAAGGAGCAGTTCAGAGGCATTGCTGGCAAGGAGTATCTGGGCAAATTTGGGCGGAGTGTATTTCAGTCGGTTTTGGTTTTTGGTTTGCTTAATGTTGAATGCTTGGCTTGATCACACCCCCTTTGTTTACTAGGAGGCAGGGCATTGGCATGAATGTTTTTCTAGTTTGGGGCCACCGCTTTTGGCTTTGGCGTGCCAAGTGCTGATAGGTACATCATGTGCACCTACGATTGCACAGTCTTTCCGTCCAATGCCACCTACGTTCGTCAGACTGGCCTTTGTGCGTCCAACATCCTATCCTTGAGTTCTGGAGCTTTTTGCCATCTTCAGTTTCCTGTGTATCAGCCACAGACATCAGCCTCTGCCGTTTTGAAGCATCGCCGGATCCTTGAGGACCAGTTCATGCGAAGCAACCTGAACATCCTGTTGCCGGTCCAGCTTCTGTTCAGCAAGGCGGAGGGCGGAGCGCGAGACAACAGGTCGCTGAATCAGCCCTGCTTGGCCCTGCTACACAACAACTTTGAGGCTTCGGAATGGCAGAGATCGGAGCCAGTCCAGCAGGGCAAAATTGGGCCGGTGCCCCTCCTGAGGTTCAGTGACTTCTTGGGGTACGATGACACCACCCGACCATCATCCCAGGGTCGTGTGGAACAGATACTCGCCATGGCTTTGTCGAGTCGAGTTTACATCCAAAGTGTTTTTTCTTGCTCAATAATACATGTCCATTTCTTTTATAGGCGAGCGATGCTCAGCTACTAAAAGGTTCCTGTTCTTTTGAGGTCAGTTTTGAAAACAAGGTTCGGCAATTTTTTCAACTGGCATGTTGACGATTGACCCAGATGATTCGTGTAAATCCTGTTTGTCATTGGGGTGTAGTATGTGTCAAGCACACATCGCAAGGTAAAAACAAGAACTAGCATATTTTCTGTTCATTCGAGATTTTAACCAAATGAACATGCTAAATGCTGGGCCTATCTTGGGCCTTTCTGTCCATGTATGGCGTCAAGCCTATGTTGGGGCAATTAAACACGCGGGCTATGGAAATAGACGCAGCTGATTAGCAAATTTCAGGTCGCTAAGTAATTTCGACTCTGAAGGCCAAAGGAGCCTTTTGAGACGACCGTGTTTGGCTTCTTTTGATATCTTCGAGTATGGCTTATAGGGCTTAGAGTATATTGTAAAGGCTCAGCGTGCTGATCCTGCTGTTTCTTAGTACCCGGTGTAAGGTCAAAGACCTGAAGCGCACTTGTTGGTTCCTCTTATGTGTTTGTTAGTTGGTTGTGCTTTGTGGGTTTGTGGCTCATCTGCGTGGCTGGTGATTCTGTGTTGTGGTTGCTTGGCAGGCGCTTTCTCTCTGAGACTCTCACCAAGTGAGGAGTGGATTTCCAAGTGGGAAAAAAAACCCTCATGATTTTTCGAAAAACCGGGCATGTCTTTTGGAGGAGTTCAAGATAATCTATAAGACTCTCACCTGGCTTTATCTGACACTTTACTTTTGTGTCGTGAAGGGTTCCTGAAACAAATACTGAAACAAACAATCGTGAACCGTGCGGTCGTGATTTACAAACTTATCGTTTGTGTTTGGACCTGATGTTTGTTACAGTGAAATTGTTTAACTCACACTTTTTATCAACTGAAATTCCAGCATGAATATTTTGAAATCACTGATGAATTTCATCACGCCGATTTTTATCATCCCAAGAAAGGGTAGGGAGGGTGGGTGCTCAATAAAAATTTGAGCACTGATTGTAGCTGAAATTTCGCTCTCCCACCCAAACTGACATCGCACCCTGGGAGAAAACAAGCCTTCACTTTGTTTGCAGAAAATGTGGAAAACTCAAATGGGTCGCTACGCGTGAACGAATGATGTGGATGCGACGTGAAATGTTCCATGCCTGAAACAGCAAACAGAAACGGATGATTTTCCCCCGACACGCCGTGACAAAAAGAAATGGCCGATTCAGCTGAAGGCCAACATTGTCATTTTTCCAGTTGCATTTTCTCAGATGTCATTCAGTGAAGCCGTTTGCAGTATTTGCATACATATTTATATATATATGAATATGTCTGAGTTTGAATATATGAATATGGTTCAGTTTACGCGTATACCCGAGCATATAATACAACCACGCGATACGTGATAAGCTACCTTTAGTTACCCACTATATATGCGCAACCCATACCTAACAACACTGGTACCAACAAGAGGGTGTTAGAAACATGCATGTTACGCCATGTTTGGGTTACGTTTGAGTAGCGAAATCGGAGATACACTCACGTTTTGGATTCTATTTGTTGTTCATCCATGTTGCTACTTATTAGGTCACGATGGTCCACCCCCTTAAAGGGGGGCAAGAGATGACAATTTGGGATGATAGCAGTCCAGAAACAGAAGCCTCATTTGTGTTCAGCGGTGTTTCTGGTTTTGCAATGAGCGCATTGAAGTTGGCATTATGAGAGGGACACTGATACCCTTTCTGTGGTTTATCGAGCGCCATTTCAGGAAGGGAGTGGATGCGCACATGGGAATCATTTCCAGCTACATGCAGGGCATGGAGATCAAGCCAGAAGATCGCCTGATCATTTGCGATATTCTTCCGAACAAGCCCGGCCATGTCAAAACTCATGTCATGTGTCAGTGTTCGAACCAGCTTTTCAGTAATCACGATGTTTAGTCAGCCAACGTCAGCCAGAAGTTTTTCAAATAGAAAGTTGGTTTGAAGGCTGAAGGGTTTGATAAATTTGGGTTGCATCTCCGTGTAGGCAATTCGAGTTTGGCAGAGCGGTTGTCCAGCAGCGCTTGGCAGAACCAACTTCACCGTGGAGGTACATCGGCTTTGTCAAAAAGTTGGATGGGGCTCAGCCGAGCGCTTTGGGTGACATCTTGAAGGCTTTACGGAGCCAAGTGTGGGACTTTTGGGATTCCAGCTCGCATGCTCCACCAAAGACCCGGCCTCAAGAAGGAGGTGCTGGCGCTGATGCTGTTCCAGATCTTCAAGTCTTGGCTTTTCAAGGTGGCCATCCTGTCTGGCCAGAGGTCCTGCTGAACCGTTTTCCAGAAGGAACAAGTGAACATGATGCTCTGAAGAAGCAGGAGGAATTTCTGAGGAAGTTCCCTCGTGCGCCTGAGGTTTCGTCTTCCAGGGCGACTGGGCTACCACCACGTGCCGGTGGCTTGTGTGATTTCAGCATCGACAATGGGTTGAGGCCTTTGGATGTCACCAAGCAGGTGTCGCTGACTTGCGTGAAGGAGTCAGATTTCACTGTGACGAGGCCTCTTTGATTGATTTGCCGTTGAACTCACATGCCTTCATCGCGTTTTTGGGGTTTATGCTTTTTTCGAGCTGTCCGCGAAATTTCAAGTTGCGATCTTTTTTTCACGTTTTGGTTCGTCATGGGATGTTTGTGAGTGGCCTTAGTCCGTCACGTGTCCCTGAGGCTGGGTTCTTGTGCAATGAGGAGTGGACGGCCAGCTTTGGTTCTGACGTCTACCTACGACTTGTGGGTTGGCAACACCTCCGACAACGTGGTCAATTTGGATGCTGGAGAATTGTTTGGTTTCAGCACAGGCAATTATGAGGAGGTGACTTTCCCGAGTTCCTTGGAGACGTTTGCGTCGATTTGGGGGGACGGGCAGATGAAGTTTTCTTTGTTGGGCCGCAGGTTGTGTTTTGAACTCTTTTTTCAAAGTGAGTGGGTAACCAGTGATCAAAAGCCATCTTTTTTTGGAGCAGATTTCATGTCAATCTAATAATTTGTGCATAGGTGTTTTCATTAGTTGCCAGTTTTGCCAGTCATTGGCATCTGAATGTCTGGTAGGAGTGAGGGTCAATCTCAAAGTTCTGTTGTTTCACTTTTGCTTTCTAATCAACTGACTTTGGAATGCTGTTTTTCTTTGGAGCATAAGATCTTTTGCTATATACCTGTTGGTAATTTTAATCCTTTCCTGATTGTTTAGGTGGAGTATTGGTGGAGCCAAGTGGTTTGCTGCTCCGCTTCACCAGCGACTTGCAGCTGATCGTGTCCGAGGAGAAGAAGATTATGGCATTGTGCGAATACTTGCGGTTCTTGGCCACAGAGAAAGGGATTGGTTCCCTTACCATCGAGGATCACAAAATGGAGCCACGCATGCACGAGGCTCATTTCCCTCTTTTTTGTGAAATATTTTTAACTCGATGTGATGTTGATTTGATGTATCAAATCAACACGTAAACATGAAAAGTGCATCTTAAGAAACATCCGTTTTGACCAAAGAATGTAAAATCAACCAACTGTTTTCCGTGCATCCAGTGAGAGGCAGAAGCTGGCAGGGAAGCTATGCCGATTTGCTTCCGCTACCAGATCTCATGCTTGGACTCGGGCAAGACACACATGTTCAAGCCGAACGCGTTCGACTCAGAGTCGCCGACCCCGACCCATCGTACTTTTGGGGCACTCTACAACTCAGCTTACGACAAAGTGGCCCGCAATGATTTTGCCCGTGTGTTGTGGGAGGTGGGGTTCAGTTTTACACTTTCGATTACCTTTTTGATCGCTTTTGAAAAGGTTTTTTCTGTTCATTGTCTGGTCTCAAATTGATGTGCCCATTGCACTTTTCCGCCAGGTTGAGACGAGCAGTTCTCCACCCGTTGTGATGGCGAAGAAACCCAAGATGTACTTGACCTGCTCACTTTCAATGGAGCCTCGCTCATGGTACAAGTTGACCTGAAGTGGCCAACGCTGAGCGCAATCCACAGTGCGCCATTTTTTGGAGGTGCCGAGTGTCTGTAGCTGTGTGACAGGCTCATTTTGAAAACCTTGCGGAACGATTCAAGTTTTCAGTAGAAGGAAGTTCCTAGAGGATGAGAAATCATTTTGTTACACATCAACACAATTCGGTGCACTGTTGATCTATAGATAGTCAACATGTTTTCCAAGACTTCCGAATGCGCCAAGTCTTGTTTGATTTATGATCGATCGATGTTTGGTTGGCATTCCAAGAAGAAATCACAAACTGGGAGTTTTTCACTGCTGCCTATCAGGCTTAGTGCTGCAAGGTTGATTCTCCGAGAGCAGTCACACTAGGCGAAGCTAGGCCAATCTGCGAGCTGGTCAGCTCATTGTATGGAGCACTGAATCAATGAATCAATCCATTGTAAATTTTATTCACTCCTCTTTGCGAGGCCAGCCGCCCCCCATTGCTAAGCTATTGTTCGATAAGAAGGTTCTGGGATTTCATTTCATTCATGTCATGACGTACGAGATAGTACGAGCTAGTAGGCTGAACATACATTGAAACATTCATCTGATTGCCCATCTGTTGGTCTTGGCGATTTACTGGTATCCTGGTTGAAAGCAACTGATTGTCTTTACACCCCCGAACATCAACAGTACATGGCTAGAAATATTCGAACTCAACAGCATTCAGTTTGTGACCGTTTTGTCAATTCGTTTCTAGCCTGAGTAATATTTCACAGTTAGGGAAGAAACTTAATATAGAGCCATCGTCATGTATGCGTATCAGAACCATGTGTTTCGCAAGCATGTGTAACTGTGAATCGTGCTCAACTTTTTCTGCATACCCATTCTTCAAAAGGGAGCACATGAAATCAAAAGGGTAGCCATCATCATCACAAGGGCTTGCAACAACATAAGGTCGTGACTTGTTCGCATTCGGTTGCAAGTACAATGGCTACATATTTTTCTGTACTTATATCACTAGTATGTTACTGCCTTCACAAACATATAGAACTGAAGTTCTTGATTTCTGGCCTTAGTTTTTTGGAAATCATACTTCAATGTTTCGGGTTTGTTTTTAACATGATATTTTAGAGTCGTACAATTGCTCTTTTGATCGTTTCTTTGCTTGTAAGTTGTTTTTGTGTTGTGTTTTTCTAAATCTTTGTATTAGGGTAAAAAGAAACTTGGCAACACTACAGAGTTGATCTAGAGATGCTTGCCATGTGATTTTAGGTCACGGACTCAACACAGAGGTTGTGACGGTGGATGAGATGGTTGTGACTTAAGCCACCAGGGATCAAAACACAGCATGTTATGCAACTACCATCATCAGTGTTATCATAAGTGTTACCATTAAGGTTTGACCATCAGGATGAATCACAAGATAATTAAGATATCATAAGTATTACACATGCATCATTAATAAGATGTCGGTTTTGGTCATCACGCGTTTCTGACCTTCGGGTCGGCGGTTTTTTGCTACTTTGAGGACACAGGGTTGGTTTATTGTTGTCAAGTTTTCATTTTTTGATCAAACAATGTCAGCTCAGTGAAGTTTGGCGGCGGCTAGTCTTAGTGTTTGTGCAGCGTGACCGGCAGTTCGAAGCTTTGTTGACATCAGATGTGGACTCGGAAAACAAAAAGCAAATTTGCTTCGTGGTACCCTTTTGATTACCACAGTAGGAATGCGCCGGATTGCTCAGTTTCGTCGCCTGTGTTTTACTTCGCGTCTGGTAGGGCTCCTGTTGAGGGTTCAAGTAGAAGTTGGGGCCGTGTTTCCGTGGAGCTGCAGTGCGTCATGCCTATCACCACTCGTGTGGTGTTGTCAGGAAGCGAAGAAACTCGTCTTGTTACCATGTTGACGAGTCAAATCGAAATTTGATTGTCAGGTCATGACAGTTTTTCAGACGCTTTGGCCCAGGAAGAGCCTTCCACGAAACCAGTCCCGAAAGCTAAAGGGAAGGCAGCCCCGAAGCCGAGTGCCAAGATGAAGGCGAAGGCGAAGGCGAAAGCCAAAGTCAAGGCGTCTGCGAAAGCCAAAGTCAAGGCGTCTGCGACGTCAAATGAAAACCTTGGCCCTGAGACTTCTGAGACCACAGATCCCCAAGATGCAGCTGAAAAAAATGAGTCGACAGAAGAGTCCAAGAACAAGGAAAACGTGACGCCGAAGAGAAAGTCGGCCTTGAGGAAGCGCCCGGCATCAGCTGAGAAAACCGAAGAGACCAAAGAGACCAACGAGACCAAAGAGACTGAAGGAGAGGAAGCTGAGCCTGAGGCACCAGGACCAGCCTCTGGGTCCGGTGCCTCTGGGTCCGGTGGGACTGGTGAGCCAGAGAAGAAGGACGGCCAGAAAGATGCCAAGAAGCGCAAGGTCCAAGGGAAGAATCCTGCAGGCAGGCTTTTTTCTTTTGCAGTTGTTTGATGTTGTTTGGACTATTCTTGGCAGAGGATTCCCCTACCTCATGCCCCCAGTTTGCAATCAAAAAAGTCGCAGGTGAGAAGATTTCCAACCCTTACTGGATCAAGAACAACCACAAGTTCGGCATCAAAGTGGACGGGAAAGAGAAAGTCCGTGTTCCATGGCCGCTGTGGATCATTGTTTTCAACATGTCAAAATCTATCAGCATTTAGGGCAACTTACGTATAATTTGTAAAGTTGATTTGCATTTTCTCAATGGTTGGTGTGGTTTCGGACAGGTATCATCGTAGCCAGGAAGTCATCAATACTATGCACTGTTTCACGAATCATTGCGTTTTGTCATTTTTTGTGTTTGCTGCTGCGATGATGTTTGCTCTCTGGTTAGATGTTTGCTGCTGCGGGTTTTTATCATTGAACACGATTGAACAGTTGTTGTTAATGAAGATTATGAAGATGATGACGACGGTGGTGGTCATCTTGATGTTGATGTTGATGCTGATGTCGCTGCTATATATGTTTTGGTTTTTGTTTCGTTGTCGTAGTCGTTGATGATGATCCGGATGTTGACGGTGATGTTGTTGCTTGTGACTTTGATGGTCATTGTTGGATGTTGATGGCGATGTCATTGTTTGTTGTGGTCGGGGTCATCATGGTTGTCCCGTCCTTGTTGTTAGCGCCAGTGTCATCGTCGGTCTGGCAGTGTCATCGTCGGTCTGGCAGTGTTGTTCTTTGATGGTTGTTGGTTTCATTGGAGTCAATGGCCCCTTCAGCATCATCATAACCATCATATCCCGAATCATCATCATCATCATCATCATCACCATCATCTTGATCATAATCATCATCATCATCATCATCATCTTCATCATTGTCTTATAATTATCATCATTATCATTAGCATTATCATTATCATCATCATCATCATTGTCATCATTAGCATTAAAATTACCATCATTATCATCATTATCATCAAATTATCATCATTATCATCATCGGCAGCGTCATCGTCATCATCATTATCAACATTTTCGTCAGCATCATCATTGTCTTTTTTGCTTTTTTGTCGTCATGTTGTTTTTCTCTTGCTCTCCATTGTTTGGTGGTTTTGGTGGGGATGTTGATTGTCATGCTGCTCCTCCCTGCTGCCTGTTCAAACCAGCTGATTATTAAATGAATCGATCGCTCGCGAGTGTGATGCTGTCAGGTTGGAGCGCCTGATTTGGAGCAGGAAGCTGTTCGACCCATTGTGGATGATGCAGTTGAGATGCTTCGAAGTGGAAAATCGATCAGCGAAGTTCAAAGCATGGTGGATGCTTGGCTAGCGCTTTGCTTTTTGTCATTCAAACACAATGGTCAGAAGCCAGCGAGAATCTGTTTCACTTTTTTGTGGTTTGTTTTTCATTCAAAGCACAGTAGTTTCAGGAAGCGCGGGAGGCAGCGCTACGTGGAGAACACAGTGCAGAGAACAATGAGGCTCCTGGTCCTGAGGAAGGTGAGGAAGAAGAGCCGAGAGTTCATGATCTTGAAGCGGAACCGGATGTTGTGGGTCTGGGTGATGTCGATTGATTTCTGTCGTGGTTGAACACTGCGGCATTGAAATGGGATTTGACATGCAAACGTGCACAGCACGTCCATGCCTTTTTGCTTCGTAGCTGACTCGTAGCCTGTTTGTCTTGTAGATGACTCTCCACTGCAGGAACTCTCAAGTGTGGCAAAAGGTGTTTGCTTGTTTGTCATTGCGGGTTTTTGCCGTTGCACGACTCACTTACGTGGTTTTTTTGATTCTGAAACACTGATTCAGTGTGTAAGCCACACACACATGTCCAACAACTGGATCTTTGCATGCGCCAAGAGATGTTTTGAAACTGGTTGGAAGTTTACTTGCTTTGACCAATCGTGGCCGAAATTGGCGGGCCCAATGATACCAAAGGATTGGGCTTTGAATTGTTTTATCTCGTTATTTGTCGAAATGTACACACTCAAGAACATCTCAGTTTTATGGAAAGTGCTGTAAAAGGCGAGCTTTAGTAATAAGATTCTATCCTTGCAATCGGTTGAGATGTTACTGTTGTTCCATTGCAGGAGTTATGTTCGAACGTCACGGTTTGAAGTTGATCATTGTTATTTTTCGTTTTCATGCAGGCGTCCTTTCGATTCACGGCTTTGTGCATGATATATTTTATGTCTTCAGATCCTTTTTGTTAGGTATGTACATACATATATCTATATTATTCAAATTTTTTGGTTATGGTTTGATTATTGTGAATACGTGAAAGCACTGTGTTATATCATTGTGCAGCTAACTGAGCCCGAAGGAAAGAGAACCTGTTGATTTGTGGAGAACAGCAGAGTAGTAAATCATCATTCGTTATTCTGTGCACAGCCTATGAAATCATTGCGTGCCATGTGTTCGCATGATGGCATTTTGTTGGTGCATTGCCCCTACTAGTCCGTGCGCCGTGCGCTTGCATCATTTGTGCTCGAAATTCTAGAAGAAATAGGGCCAAGGTCCAAGTTGCAAACTGCCATGCCGTTGGGGGCGCAGACGTTAAAGCTGATTGAAATCATGCAGGACTTGGCCGAGTGCCGCTTATGTATGTCATGTGCTTTCGAGTATGTGCGGGTTTACATCTCCGAGAATCTGGGCTCAACCGAAATCAGTTCTGTGCTTATTGCGAACTCCTTTTCCTCTTTAAACCTCAAAATTATCTTCTCTTTTTCCTCTTTAAACCTCAAACCTCGAATCTTCTTATTTGAAATAAACCTCTCATTTTCTCTGAAACCTCAAATCTCTTCCTTTTCCTCTTAAACATCAATTTTTTTTCTCCTTTTCTTCTTAAACCTCAAAATTATCTTCTCCTTTTCCTCCGTTCCCTTTGTGTTTCTGTTCTCAAAAGTTGGGATGCCCCCTATGCTTCGTATTTTTCGAAAAATAGTTACCAAAATCTGAGGAACGATTGGCGCACTTTGCAAACTATCTCGAAGAGCTGCGAATGCGAGGATTACAAGTTGACGACAACGATGACTCAGGAGATTGAAAAATTTTAATTTTAAGGCCCAATTGTGGCGCCCAAACATCGCATCAGATCTTCGTCGGCGCGAAAAAAAAGCTGGAGCTGGTGCATTCAGAGAAAGCCCTGACACAGCTTTGCATTGAGTGTTTGACATATAGTGATACAAAAGATGAAGCATTGCTTGACATGCGGATAAAAACACCGAAAGAATTACAAAGCACGTGGTTTAATGTTCTTGGCATACTTTCGTATTGCAAACTACATGCAGCGTAATTTTTGTGGTTGTTTTTTTTCAAGTAGCAAATCAATGGGGTTCCTCAAAGAAGGGCTGTTGTTTGTGGGCTCACCAACTCAACAGTGTCCAGGGTGTCGTTGGAAGGTGCATTAGGTGCAGTCAGGAGGTGCCAGGTTGTGTAGTAATTTGCAGGTGCAGTGTCCACAAACTAGAAGGTTCTGAATTGGCAAGCTTGATGTTAGGATGCGGTGGGAGGGTGCGCTGCTGCCCAGGATGCTGTCGGAAGCGATCCAGGGTGCTGTTGGAGGTGATTTGCTGGGTGTGGTCGCGGGTGTGTTTGTAGGCTGTTTTCGGGGGTGCTGTGCTGTTCGTGGGTGCTTTTTTATTCTATCTGGGTTTTTGCTCATGTGTGTGTGTGTGAAGAATTTTTTTGCGTTATTACTTATTAAAGTCTAGTCTTTATGTTTTTGATCATATTGTTTTCCATGTTTAATATTGAAAAATCTTTCGAGTTTTTGCGCGCACACACACATATATATAATATGTATATATATATATACATATAAAATTTCGTAATTGTCCTCAAAGTCATGCTGGAAAACCATTTGGTTCCAATATGTCACAACAAGCAATAACCTTAAGCCTTCACGCCATTGTTACTTCGACACCAAGACTCGAACGTGCAAGTGTCACATTGGAAATCACGTCATTATCTTTTTGCTCCGCACGTTGCCCTTGGTGTTGTCTATCGCCAGTGCATTTTGTGCGCCATACTGTGGGGCCAAATTTTTGGCCCTGGCGGATTTCTCGATTGAATCCATGGATACTTCTTCTCAGCTAAAAAAACAAACGTGGTCAAGTTTCTTTTTTATTCATGTGGGAAGGATGAACATGTACAGGTAAATAGATGATCATCATTAAGCCATCGATCTTTTTAGAGGTAAGATATTTTTGGTGCTGCTTAAATATCACTTGGCAGTGATGAAAGTCCACACAATACTGGGTGGTAGCATGCCAAATCTTTAAGACTGGCCCAAGGACTTGATGACTGAGTGGCAAACTGACTTATCAATTGGGTTGGAGCTGGCCAACTTACTAGTGGCCCACCATAGCCTGCTTCTGTGTGGGAGGAGACAGCCAATGAATAATAACAGCATCTTAGGAAGATTGCTGTAAGTCTTGAGCCATGCATGGTGGCACATGTGTAGAAAAAATGTGCTCTTTTGCAGCACAAGTGCATGCCCTCACACGTCTACAGGACCACCATTTGGGCAGACAGCATTTGAACCCCCCATTCAGTCTGAACCCCCCATTCAAGAGAAAATTTTTTCTTTGTGACTCCAGACGACTCCGAAGAAACCGCAAGATGCGCAAGATGATGTCACTGAACTGTTCGATTTGTTTGATGCCCATTTTTGGGGTTGGAAAGGTATATAGAATTTGGACTCCCAAAGGCGGTCCTCCCCAGTTGCGTTGAAAGCTTGCTGCTTAAACAAAACCCATTTTTGATTTATTTGCGTAATGTAAAGAGCTTCGTCGTCGAGCAGGTCGCAAGGTTCGACACTGCCAAAAATGGGATTGCCACGCGCTACCGCGTTTCGCTTTGGACAGAGCTATTTCGAGGCTGTTTTCAATTTCTATTTTAATAGCAGGCGAGACCAAAAACGGGCGCGCCAAATCCACCTGTTGGAGCGTGTGGCAATCCTGTTTTTGGGGTTGCGACGTGACGCTCGGAACGCACCCAGCTGCTTCAAAAGTTCGCCAGAAACCATGAACCACAAAAGGCAGGAAGGATGACACAAACATCCACGTGCTGAACTGGGGAGGACCACTTTTTGGAGTCCAAAAAGCCAATGTGTTTACGGCCCCGAAAATGAGATTGCTGCAGTGACCTTTTTTGCGAAAAATGGCGCAGCTTTAACAAAAAGCAATATTCTTGCAAGTGTAACGGAATGGCAGGATT